GGGAGTTCCTGCATGGCAGGGGTTTGGACTGGATGGCCCTTGTGGTTTTTTCTAACTCTATGATTCTATGATTCTATTATTCTCTAGCCTCTGAATCTCTCAGCAGGCAAATATACCTCTATGTATACATCTGGGAACTCCCTATAACTAATAGAGTGATGTGGCTTTGACTTTAACAATGCAAGCCTGTTAATGGCAATCTAGAGAAGTCTCATTGAATTCAATGGTCCTTACTCTTAAGTAAATCTGAATAGGATTGGTGCTTGCAGCAGCTTCTTTCCATTTCTGGGGATGATGAAAGCATTTATATATTTAGCATCTGAGAATTCACCAGAATGAATTGCTGTGTGAAATAAGATAGAGGGTTTCCAGCTCTGATTTTTTTTTCTTATGTGGGTGTGGCTGAACTGTCTGTCAGATAGTTGAGATGTGAAGAATATCAACCCTTCCCACTGAAATTTTTGCAAAACCTGTGTGAGTAGATTAGGCTGGTGGAAGCTGGTGAATAGCCCAGAGCTGTGCAGCTTTGTGGGGCTTGAAATTCTAGAGAGCAGTGAGGAAAAAGTCTCAAAATTCTCTGCTCTGCATGTGGAACAGAGAAACTGAGATGAAATTTCTGTGGGATGAGAAGAAATTCAGCAACATATCAGAAGTGGAACTTCTCTCTCACAGCTTCTTGCCTTTCCCTTTTCCCAAAGGGATGACAATCTGGCTACCACTTTGTATCCTCTGTAGCACCTTGGGAACAGTAAAATTGTCAAGTGGTAGCACTGGAAGGGAATTATTATTAGCCACCTTGAATCCCATTTTGGGAGAAAGGCAGGATATATATTCCCCTAAATAAATAAATAAATATCTAGTTCAGTTCCTGGTCCAGTGCAGGAATCCACGGTTTCTCTGACAGGCGGCCATCCAACCTCTAGCATCTTTATTTGGCATTGCAGTAATGGCAGAAGAGATGGTGGCCACACACAAAAATGAGGGGAAATATTGGGCAGCTTTCTTTGCTAGGAATGTGACCAAAACACAAACAAAAACCTCAGCAATTTTGTCCCATAAATGTTCTGTGGAGCAACTGCAGTTTGGCTCTAATGAAACCTTGTCTCTGTGCCGAAACTCTTAACTCTCTCCACATTAAAATGCAGCATTCTGTCCAGTGATGAAGCAGAGAAAGGGATTGTAAGGTCAAAGGAGCAGGACATTTCTGGTTTGCAGGGACCAATAAAATCATCGGCAACCCCCTCAGGCTTTCCTCTTTCCTCTGAGCTTAGCAACCCAGAGAGTAGATATCTGTGTATGTGGGAGTGGGGGTTATATATTTGTGTGTGCATATGTGCTTGACAGCCATTGTGGTGTAGTGGTTTAAGAGTTGGACTATGACTCTAGAGATCAGGGTTCAATTCCCTGTTTGGCTATGCAAAGCCACGGGATGACCTTGGGCAAGTCACACAGTCTCAGCCCAAGAAAACCTCATTATAAGTCCGCCTTAGGGTCACCATCATTTGGAAATGACTTGAAGGCACACAGCAACAACATGTGCTTCCAAGTCACCTGTTGACTAATGAAGATCCAATGAATTTTGTATGGTTTTCTTAATTAAGGAATACTCAGAGATGGTTTCACCAATTCCTTCCTCTGAAATATAGCCTAAAGTACCTGGTATCCATTGGCAGTCTCCCATCCAAGAGCTAACCAGAACTGAACTTGCTTAAAGTTCTGCAAAATCAGAAGGGATTTTTTTCCCAAGCAATAATATATAGGCTGAGATCATGCAACAGGAGAGCTGGCACATAGCTACAATATGTCTCCTGGTGCAACACAACCAAACCTATCTTCACAGTTTAGCAACCATGCCCCCAAGAAGGCCATTTCTATGTTGGTGGAGAGTGTGGTATCTGTAGGGATATGCCCAGATGTTCTCCATTAACTGGACACACTGCAACAGGCATCCTCAGGATCCTCCAATGGTTATCACGCAGTCTCTTATAATGAAGTTATTACTGCACAGCCTGCTAAATCTAACTGGATCTGACTGTGCTGCTTCCTTTACTTAGAAATAGCTATGGGGGTTGCCACATAGAAAGATGAGTTTTCTGTGTGGCAACCGTTAAAGAACCTACCATGTGCCAACCTCTTCAGCCACCAAAAAAGTAGGTTCTGATAGCACAAGTTGGACTTTGTAATTCACTAAAAGGATTTGTCATTATAATTTACTAAGAGGATATGAGCCATAGTAAAGAGTTATCCCTTTTGCAGCACAAAGAATGGGCAATTAAGATCCATTAGCTTTACAAAAAAATCTCTTGGTGGAGATAAAAACTGCTACAACATTTTTAAAAAGTGTGTATGTGTTGGGGGGGTGTAACCACATTTCAGAATTAAAGCAGTTTGACACCACTTCAACTGCTTTGACTCTTTGGGCCTTTGCAGACTGTCAGAAATAGTGCAAATTGAGTCCACTTTAACTGCCCTGGCTCAATGCTAGGGAATCATGGGAATTGTATTTTTTTTCTGAGACATTGAGCCTTCTCTGTCAGAGAGCTCTGATGCCACAATAAACTACAGTTCCCATGATTCCCTAGCACTGAGCCAGGGCAGTTAAAGTGGACTCAATTTGCACTATTTCTGGCAGTCTGCAAAGGCCCTTTACTACAGAATCCGAGGTTTTGTAGTCAGCCTGTTTTGTCAGAGAGTGCTGGTGCCTCACCAAACTACAAATCCCAGGATTCTGTAGGACAGTCATGATAGTTAAAGTGGTGTCAAAGTGCTTTAATTCTGCAATGTGGCTACACTGAGAGATTATAGGGAGAGTCATGAATGCCCCCACTTCAAAATTTACCACTATACCACCAACTGTATCTAATGCATCAGACAGGCTCTGCCAACAAGTGTGTGCGTACATTTTCTCATGAGCTGCAGCCTCTTTTCTCTCTTCGGCTCTGGATAAAGCACACAGGAGTTCTTAAAAGCAGAAGAGCATCTATATGTCATTTCTTACATGAAAGAGGCTTCACCTTGAAGAAATGCAAGGATGAGAGGCCCCTTTTGAAGGAGATTCCTCAGGAGGGATAAGAAGCTGCTTGTTGCCTCTTCTGCTGCCAGGTTACTGAGGAGGGGTGTGTGTGTGTGTTAAGCCTGACAGGCAAAGTTGAAAGCTTTTTCTAGCCGTATGCAGACTCCCTATCTGATAGAAAGACACACAGAGGAGAGGACTCTGTTCGAATTACTGCATTACTGTAGAGGCAGATAAGTGAGGAAGGGGGGTGAATCACTTCAGGAGCAGAATGCAAGGCAAAATGGGGCCACGGCAGAGACAGGCTAGCCACGAACCACTTTCATCATGAAAGGAGCCAGGAGCAATTTTCAAAATGGCACAATTGACCCTTGACTGACTGACCGCTTTGGATTGCCAGTAAGCTCCTACAGAAAAGAGGCGCTGTCAAGACCATCACTTTACAGAGAGCAATTCCTCCACCATTGTGAGTCCTTTTGTTGTGGGGACCCAGATGTTTTTACAATATAAAATGCTTCTGTTGCAGGGATATTTCATTTCTCTCCCAGCATTCAAATGAAAAGGTTGAGCGGCTCAGAAAATGTATCCTTCCTTCTTTCTTTCTTTCTTTCTTTCTTTCTTTCTTTCTTTCTTTCTTTCTTGGGTAGCTATGGCCTGTGGCAGCTGTTGGTGTCCCTGTCCATGGGCACAGGGAAACCAACCTGGGTTACAGTCTGAACTTTAAAGGCGTTTTCCAAGGTGCTTAACCTTATCATCAAAACAGGTGTAGCACCTGGGAGAGCACATTAAAGTTTGGGCTAAAACCTGGAATGGATTCAATATCCCTACTGACATGGAAACCGACTGTTGTTCCTGGCCATTGCTGTTTCACTGAGGGGGGTTGCAGACTGCCAGAAATAGTGCAAATTGAGTCCACTTTTAGGGTTAGGGTTAGTGCTAGGGAATCATGGGAATTGTTTTTTCCCCCCTGAGATATTGAGCCTTCTCTGTCAGAGAGCTCTGGTGCCACAATAAAATACAGTTCCATGATTCCCGAACCCTAACCCTAACCCTAAAAGTGGACTCAATTTGCACTATGTCTGGCAGTCTGCAACCCCCCTGAGTCTCCTGAAATGTAAATGCATTTTTTCCTTTTCCAAAACCACACAACAAGCATCTAGGATGTCATATGTTCATGGCACTAGCCTGCCAAGCTCCACCAGCATGAATATAAATATTCTTGCAGACATCACATTGCTGCTTGGGATACCACAAGGTATGTTACTTGTCCTTTCTTAGCACCACAAGCAGTAGTTAGTAGCTACCTGTGAAATGTACACTGCCATAAGTTACAAACACACAAAGATGGAATAGATTCATTCTCTCTACTGACATGGAAACTATCATCTGTCCATGGCCATTGCTGTTTCAAGTGGTGTGTGCGTTTGTGTGTTTGTGGCTTATGGCTCTGGCTGAGTTCATGAGCACATGGCAACTTTAGATGCTTGTTGTGTGATTTTTGAAAAGGGAAAAAGTAAATTTATATGTCAGGAGACTCACTCAGGAACAATATAGGAGGCGAAAAAACACATATGCTTAATCTGCTCTGCAGAAATAATGCAGTTTGACACAGCTTTAAGTGCTATGGCTCAATGCAATGGAATTCTGGGATGTGTAGTTTTATAGGATATTTAGCCTTCCCTGTCAGAGAGTTCTGGTGCCAAAACAAACTACAAATCTCAGAATTCCATGGGATGGAGCCATGACAGTTAAAGCAGACAGTTAAAACAGATTAATTCGGCAGTGCACATGCAGCCTATGACATGATTAAAGAAGCCATTACTCTTGGCTTCCGTGCATACACATTATGCTAGTAACCATCATGGAGAGAAGGTTTGATGTTTCTCCATCTAACAAAGGGAGGCACATTGTGCATGGAAGTGCATTGCATATGGATGCTCATAGCACTTTGCTCATAGATTCTTGTGTGCCTTTGGTGGTGCAGTTGGTTGCAATTTAGTACCTTGATTCAGTTCTACAACATTGCCATTCAACAGAAAGGGCGCATACCCCAAACAACACAGCTCCACATGCAGAGATTTACACAACACAGACCTGATGTAGGATCTCAGCCTAGCTCTTGAGGAAGGAGGAAACAATTCCTGAGAAGAAGGAGGAAACAGATGACAGTAGCCATCTACAAATGTGACAGGTGGTTTCTTTAGAAAGGTCAAAAGGGTACTAGATGCTTAACACCATCTGGCTATCTGTCATTCCCTGCAGTTTACTCCTTACATGTGTTGATGCTTATCCTCTATAGAGTGATGATGACAGTACAGAGACTAATGAACAAAGCAGACATTCAAGGAAATGTGAAAATGCAGTTCTACTTTCCTTTCTTTAAAAATCCAGCCATAGGAAGCTCATGAAATCTGGAGTGAAAGCATGATATAGAAGAGAAAGCTTTGCACAAACACCAGTTTTCCTGATGAAACATACAAATTTTCCTTCATACACACACACACACGCACGCATGTTGCTGCCATTGAATAATATAGTGCATGACTGGCTTTTTTTTTTGCTATCCATGTGGGCTCCTGGAACTGAACCCCCATGGATGGGAATGGTCCACTGTATATGTAAGAGCTTGTAGTTTCTGTGTCAGAGGGGCAGTGAATCATTCTGAATTGTTACTACAAACTTTCAAGAAGCTGTCCATGGTGCTGAACTCTATCCCTAAAATTGGTTTAGCACCTCAATGAACATCTTTAACAAAAATCCAGACCAGATTTACTACCCCACTGACATGGAAGCCACTGATGTGCCCAGTAGTTTTCCTAAGTTTGATTGCCAAGGCAAAAGGCAGAGTATAAGAAATATTATTATTATTATTATTATTATTATTATTATTATTATTATTATTATTATTAAGTTCCTAGTCATGCCAAGAACTCCAACATGAACTTGGGTGCATGGGGGATACTAGCCTCGCCCTTCATGTGTTCCAGCCATATCTGAAAAAGGTTATATAGCCAGCCCTCCACATTTGTCACTTTGACTTTTGCTGATTTGATTATTCATGAATTTGAATAATATGCTTTCTCTAGGAATTTCTAGGTCCTCCAGTGTCACTCTTTGATCAGCATCTGCCAGAAGTCACAGAGGAGAACCTAGCAATTCCTAGAGAGAATACTTGTCTAGGCATTTGTAAATCCTCCAGTGCAATTCTGGTTTCATTTTCCAGCAGATATTGACCACAGACTTGTGCAGGAGGACCTAGAGGTTTTCTAGCAGGTTAAAAAAACCCCCAGCGAATGTAGAGGGTCCACTGTAGTTGATAATCTTCCCACAGTTGTGTGTGTGATCGCTTGATTCCACTGAAAACAGGTCTCACTGTTTGTGGCACTGTGATGCTTGTTCAA